GGGCGACGCGTGTCGCGCGCTGGGCTAGAGACAACGACGCGGTCGGCGGACGCTGTCGCTGGCGCATCTACGCGCCTGTCGATGTGGATCCCGAGGGGGATCGACTGGGCTGCTGCTGTCGGGCCGATCCCAAGGGGGATTTGCCTCCCAGAAGCGGACACGTGGAATATGGACCTGCCGGCACGTTTTTTTTCACGGATTTTTGCATCGTTTTCGTTGTTTTCTCCTGTAACATCATCAGAAAGCTCATGCACACCATTAGTAGCAAAGTTAGTCAACAACTGATCATCATAATTCGGACCCCCTTGATCAATACTGGTGAGATGAGTGGGCAGGAGGAGAATTTCTTCTCAAAGGCGAGCGTCGGCGTTTGGATGTAGAGTGGCGAATGGAAAATTTGTTTCGTCAAAAACAACGTCACGAGATATATAAATGCGACCAGTGGATATATCTAAGCACTTGACACCTTTGTGTTGAGGGCTATATCCTAGAAAAACACACTGCTTGGAGCGTAGCACGAGTTTGTGTTTGTTGTATGGGCGAAGATTGGGCCAACAAGCACACCCAAAAACACGAATATATTTGTAGTCTGGTTTTGTGTGAAGAAGTCTTTCTATCGGAGTTTCATTGTTGATGACTCGACTAGGAAGCATATTGATGATACGAACAGCGGTGAGAAAAGCCTCATCCCAAAACTTGATAGGCATGGGGGCCCCTGCTGAGAGGGCTAGCCCAACCTCAACTATGTGCTTGTGCTTGCGTTCAGCAAAGCCATTCTGTTGATGAGCATGAGGGCATGAAACATGGTGTGATATGCCAAGTGTTTGGAAGGAGTTTAGTTTTTCATACCCCCCCCCCCAGTCCGATTGCACTACAATAATTTTGCTAGCAAATTTTCGTTCAACCAAGGCTTGAAAGTTTTGAAAAACTTGAAAGACATCGGATCTCTTTTTGAGGAGGTAAATCCATACAAATTTGGTATAGTCATCTATGAAGCTCACATAATACTCGTGGTCTACCAACAGAGGTAGGGGCAGGACCCCACACATCAGAGAAAATTATTTGAAGTGGTTTGGTAGAAACACTAGTAGATATTGGATATGATAATTGATGACTTTTGGCACATTGACAGGAATCATAAATAGTTTCGACATTTCGCTCACCAACAAATGGGAGTTTATTTTTCCTAAGTAATCTTTCAACTAAAGAAAAAAGCAGCATGCCCTAATCGATCGTGCCACCGTGTTGACGAGACTTTGACAACACCATTGTCTTGTTTATCGAGTCTCCTAAGCTCCGGAATCGACGGGTAAAGCCCTCGAACACATCTACCTCGATAGAGAACCTTCTTCGTTGCTTGGTCCTTGATCAAAAAGTAGTATGGATGAAATTCGAGGAAAACATGATTATCAAGGGCAATTCTATGAACAGAGAGAAGACTTTTAGCAGCACTAGGGACATGCAAGATTTTCTTAAGGTGAATTGGATGATGAGGGGTACGAAAAATAGAATGACCAATGTGACAAATCTGCATACCTTCTCCACTTGCCGTGTGGATGTGATCTTTGCCATGGTACTTTTCCTTCATCGTGACCTTCTCAAGCTCATTGGTTATGTGATTAGGGGCACCACTATCAACATACCAATTGGTGTCGACGTCGTAGGATCCATCAGCCGCGACGGCCACCTTTTCTTCATCTTGGGAGTCATCGTCATCTTCATCATAACAATACCAGCTCCTTCGCGGTGTGCCCTGGCTTACCACAAATTTGGTAGCGGGGTGTCTCTGATTGGGCCTGATTTTGACCGCCACCACGGCGACCGCGGGAGGCACCGGAGCGGCCGTTGGAGCTGCCGACGCCACTGTTGCCGCCACCATCGTGACCTCCAGACCTCCCCTTGTTGCGAGAAGAGCCACGACCACGTGAGCTGACACCACGGACGCGGACCGCGGCGTTGGCAGAGGAGCGGAAGCCGCCGCCCGAGTGGTTGAACTGGGCCATGCGCTGGTCGAAGTTGCTGAGCATGGCGTAGAGCTCGTCGAGGGAGACCGGCATGACGCGCGCGTCAAGGGCGGGGACAAGGGGCTGGTAGTCGATGTCGAGCCCGTGGATGATGTAGGAGATGAGCTCGTCGTCTTGGATGGCCTTCCCCGCAGCAGCAAGCTCATCGACGAGGCCGCGGAGAGAGGCTTAGTAGGCGGCGACCATCTGGTTGCCCTTCTGTGCGTTGATGAGCGCCATCTTGATATTGTTCACACGGCTCATGGACTGCAACGAGAACATACCTGCCAACGTGGTCCAGAGTGCATGCGCCGTGGTCACCGTGACGAGCACCTCCTTGGAGAGGGTGCTGAGCAAGTAGCCCAACACCTGCTGATCCTCCCTGACCCAGATTGGGTGGAGAGGGTTGGGCAATGAGCTTTCTTTGCCATCCTTGTCCTTGGTGACATGAAGCTTGGCCGGCTCTGGCGTGGTGCCGTCGACGTAGCTGAAGACACCGGCGCCACGCAGATGGGGAGTGACCTGCGTGCGCCACAGCACATAGTTCGTGCGTGTTAGCTTCTCGATGACCTGTCCATTGAGGGTAGGTTGGGAGGCGCCGAAGGAGGAGGAAGACATGGCTAGGCTCGGTTAGATGGGATCTCAGTAGATGGGAAGAGATGGGGCTCTGATTACCATGTATGAACTAGCAGAACGTCTTGCCTCACTCAGGCCGACGGGTTCATTTTAAATAGATGGGGCGCACCTCCCATAACAGCGCATACATGCAGTTTGGATTACAAGTTTGGAGATCAAGAAAGGAGATAGAGATAAGAGGTTACATGAGATAAACATAAGACTCTAACAACCTAACTATCTCAACTATCTCCTATGAAATGGGCCGGTCACATAACGTGGCATGTTGCATGTTTAACAAGTTCTAGCGGGCCACCCCTTGCACCCTTAGGGCTAAGGTCATCAGTGTCCCACTACAACAGATCAGGGTAACCCTAACACTGTTGAGAAACTGAGGGTATGAAATATATTGGTACCAATTGTTGGCGAAAACTGCAGCTATTTTAGTACCCATGACATTTAGTTGAGTAGAATCGGACTGATAACCCTTGCCTCTCAGTAGTAGTTTCAACCTACTCCAATTATCTTTGACGATTTGGCCTATATGCCTCTTCCAGTTAGCAAAGCCAAACTGCCTCCTCAGTCATTTACTGGACTTCTCAGTGGTATCGCCAATAAATTCTCAGCACTTTGACAGTGGCTTCATCCCAGATCACCTAGCACAAGCCCACGAAGGTTAGAGCTGAAGTTGCTACTGCCCCATAACAACCTGAACCGCATTTACGGACCAACCATCAGACTACAATTTTTGTCATCCTGACGTTCAGTAAGGGGTTGTTTGGATATGGAGCGTTGGCCCCGAGTATATAGAAAATCAGTTTTTAGCTGATTCTTAGCAAAACCCGTTTTAAAATATATTTTATCGATTATGAGTTTATGCAAAATTATGTTTGGGTTAGGAAAGTAATAAATCACGGCTGTATAGTTCTTTGTTTGGATAGTAACTAGTCTATCATAAGCTCACGCGTGACCTTTTCCTAATTTGACCGCTCGGCCATCATTGACAAACCTTCAAACTCCGATCTAGGACTCCTCCATCGTTACTGACCGTGTACCCTCCGGCCACAACGATTATGTCTGGTCATCGCCCTCGGCATAGAATCTACTCTGGCCGCTGCTCACGTTCCATCTGGCCAACCGGACTCCGCGTGCGGCTATGCCACCGTCGCCGTGGCAGGGCGTTTCTCCCGGCGAGGAGGTCGTCAGTCCCGCGCAACCTCTCCCTCGGGCTGCTGCACGTCGGTGTCGCAGTAGTACTCTGCCGTCGTGGTGTCGTGCATACGCAACTATGCATTGCAGTCAAACACACGACGGAGGCCACGCTTTGGCTAAATAACGAGCGCCGAGACGTGACGCTCCAGTTTTTTGAAGGACATGGGCAGCGTTGCGCCGTCTGCGAGGACCAGGAGGTCGCCGTCAGTGTAGCCGTACACGGCGCAGTCGCCAGCGATCCATCCGGCCGCTGGCCGCCAGCACCGACGGTCGTGGTTGTGGCAGGTCAGGCCTCCATCCATCGAGTCGTACACGTCGTGATTGTTGCCGCCCGTCATGGTTTGTCATGGCAGAAGACATTCTTCATGCAACTCGATGCCACACGCTGAGCTTTAAGCTGGTTTTTCTAAAACGCGTTTGCGCAAAAACGTCTCAGAGCCGTTTTTCTAAAAACACAAATTTTGGGTATTACGAGAACCAAATTTTCCTTATCCAAGAATTAGTTAGATAAGCCAAACAAAGTTTTAGTTGGTTAGAATCTAAAACACATTTATAGCTAACTGGTTCTCTAAAAGCTCGCTAACCAAACAACCCCAAGTGTCTGTACAAAATCCCCTGTTTGTAAGGGTGGATAAATTATAAGGAAGTCCCTGACAATACATTAAACTTTATTTAGAAGATAAGTATATACAAGCGCATCAGACCAACTTCACCTGTAATTGATGTAGTGATTCATCACCGCCACTGGATATTATCATTTAGTACAATTCCCATCCTAATTTCAAGCTGGTTAGCATATGTTTGTAGCTCTTGCACACCTTAAATCTCGATGCAACTCGTTCATAAGTTACAGCTATTGAGCCAAAAGATGGTCTTCCTCTACAATATGAACAGGCATATTCTCTACAGCAGCCCAAGTTCCCCATCGGTCTGCACAATACTGTGGCGTGCAATCATTCATTTACCACGCCCAGAGTTGCCAAGGTTCAGACAGTAGCAATTCAACACCTGAAATAGGTTGACAAGAAAATATATTGAGATTAAATAAGCACAAACATGATTGACCAAGTGAGAGAAGTTACCAATAGTATTTCTGAAATACTGGCAGTTGCTCATATCTCAATGTCCTTGATAAGTCCTCTTTTTTTGCCAAAAATAAAACTCGAGCCATCATAAATATGAAGTGTATCCCCCACCAAGTGGCACTCTTGGATGGAATAATGCTTTGATTGACAGGCTTGGGCAACACTGGAAGCCAATACTCTAATGAAAAAAGTAAGAATATTAGCTCAAGAGTAGTAAAGCTTCCTTGACCGAAATTGACCCCAATGGACTGATGTCATCCTTCCCCAGAGATATCACATAGGATTTTTGCTGAGTTGGAAAAGAGGGATGACTGCCTTAGCTAATGGATGGTCTCTTAGAGTAATAAGGGAAAGCATTACCACAGCTGTACCAGATGCCATCCCCTAGTTATACATTTTCTGATTAAATCATCATCACACAATTTAAGAGGAATGCAAGCAATAGTTGCTAGAAATAACTCATTGTCTTGCATGTTTTTACTGTCATCTCTAGCTGATACGGAGAGCCAAGAAAAAGCTGCCTTCACCATCTAATGTATACTTGTATTTCATAGAGCTGACAACTATATCATACCGAATGTCAGCAAGTTCTAGAAAAGCTACATACAAATATCACCCAAAGCCTCAAGTGTGTGGATTATCTGCTGGCCTCCAGAATCTCGGAGCTACTGAATTTTCTATTAGTGTTATGCATAGTAATAGAAGCAAGAATAAGATAATATGTTGCAGATCAGTAAATGGATTTTGTTCAGAAACATGGTCAATTCTTCTGGTAATTTTATGTTAATCTCTAACAAATAACAATACCCAAAGCTTTAAAACATTCAACTATTCTGGTTCCACAAAACTTGAAAACCAACTGTACTTTTTCAGGCCAGAATGCCAGATCACTGGCTGCCAATATTCCTTGGAGCAACCGTGTTTCAAACTGTACGAAGACCCCAATACTCTATTATACCATGAAGCAGGTAGATAGGTTGTCTCTCTTGCCATCCATTAGTTCATACGTAATTTACTAGAACTAGGCCTCCAAAGGATTGATGGATGAGACAACTTTTCTTAGAATAGAATATCATGAAATCAGTCGAAATTACAGGCAGGGAGACATGTAAAGGGATTTGAATGGACACTTACTGGTATGCTCAGTACGTCACCTTGAGAATTGGTCAGTACTGGCAGTGTTCGTCTTGCAGAAGCTGGAATAGATTTCAGGACCTCAAGAGCTTTCATTGCTGATAACTGTAAATATCTAGAGTGCTTCAGGAGTACATCATCCTCCAATTTATTATTGGAAACTTTTGAGACATTCTGATTCTCTTCCATTGAGCGGATTTTAGAAACTTCAGCAAGGAACAACCAATCGGTATCAAACATGTGACGAACTGCAAGACTTCCGTCCTGATTCACTGCACAATGCTGGCATAGGAGGTTTTTACTGTCTTGTGAGCATATTCCATTTGGAACAACCTCCAAAGCATTCCATGTAATCAAGAACTTGCTCATAAAGTGACATGTTTCACCAGGCCAGAGAAAAAGAACTTTCACATCAGGAAAGTTTGTTTTCTCCAAGTATTGTTCTTCATTTTTATGTTTTGTTGCACAAAATTTCTGATGCTCTTCTGTCTGCAGGTAAAGGAGTTTTTCTAACACAAAATCACCTATTATATTGTGATCCTTTGCTCTATTCAGAACATCAGTAGAAGAACTATAATTCACAAAAGGTATGCTTGAGCACTGTAGAAATTCGTTGGAGTGTACGCGTGCTTCACGTGCTATCTGATCAATCTCAGGTACTGGTGAAGGCTGTTCTTCATAGGAACACTTGTAGGACATCTCAACAGAAAATGACTCCATCGAGTCAACAGAGGAACAGACTAGTACTTTTGTACCTTTAGACTTCGGAAAAGCACAAAGGTAACAACCAGCTACAGTAAGGGCACCCTGCAGGAGATTGAAGTATTACTCGGCAAATCAATAAGATCTTATGCTAGAGGCTGAAGAATATAGCTAATCATGACAGGCATAAATGCATATAGAGCCCAATAATGTTTCCCTAAAGAGAATCCACATGTGCTGGTTACTACTGCATTTTTCTAAAAAAAATTGGAAAAGGAGGTTAAACCCCCGGCCTCTGCATCAATCGATGCATGCTGCCATCTTTATTAATTATTCCACAAAGGTCTGACAAAAACATACATCAATCCACCCGAAACCACCACTCACACCTACAAACTCGATAATGTGGAGTGCTCTCACTCCCCATATCTAAAACCGATGTCGTCGCCAATCCATCCACATAACGTATCGGAACCAACAGCTGATGCAGCAGACCTAAAGCGCACACCACATGCACACGCTTTAGAAGTCGCCATCATCATCGGACCACTGACCCATATTCAGGAGAGAGATCCGCATCATCCTTGCCAGTCCGGACATCCGTCGACGCCACCACGGCGCCACCACCCTGCGCTCATCCGTCCAGACGCGAAGACTCTGGAAGACTTTCATGCGTAGCACCTGCCAACCAGGCATGACTCGGCGTAGCATCTGTCGGCCAGGCATGACTTGACAGCTCCACCAAAGCTCCATGCAAGACGAAGCAGCTCCACCTCCTGCCTCTGCCATCCAGCGCTGCTCCACAAACGATGCTCCCAAGAGAGAAACGGCACCGCAATATCGCCATCGTGCGATCTGGAAGACCAGATCCTAGGGTTTCCCCCAAAGCAGTGCCCACCACCAGCAACCGTCAAGGACCCACACAGTGCCCACCACCACTCAGCCCTCACGGCGACGCCTTCCGGAAGGTCACGACGTCAAGGACGCCGCTGCTGCCCGCCGGAGTTAGGGTTTTCACCCGAGAGGCAGGTAGGGGGAAAGTAGAGGAGCAGACGTAGACCGACGTCTCCAAGAAGAAAAGCGGCGCCCTTGAGCGTCGTCGTCAGTGCGGCCGGCCAGGGCCGACCAAGGGGTTTCCCCCAATCTGGATCTCCTCCACCAGCTTCACCCCCGGCCACCGGCCAGGGTCCCGGCAAGCCACGCCGGCACCGCCAGGAACCCGCAAGAGAGAAGCACACCGATCAGGGCCGGAGGACAGCGGCCAGATCAGGCGCCGCCGGCCACCAGAGCAGCCACGCCAAGCCCTGGTTCACCGAAGATCCGTCAGCCGTCCGACCAGACCACCGGCACCACGCCAGCCCCGCCGTTCGCTGTAGCACGGAGGGGCCTCGCCGGAAGGGCCGCTGCCCCAAATCCAATCGCTCTCCAGCGCAAGGCGACGCAGCAAGGGCCCCGCCGCCGCAGTCCCCGGCTGCGCCACGGGCTTGCCCGGCGCCAGCCTCATGCGGCAGCGAGGGAGGGAGGGAGACGAGGTGGCTATGCCGGCGGCGGGAGGGAGGTCGCCCCCAAGTCGCCCGAGAGCGCTGGACTCCGGGATGGATGGAGAGAGGGTGAGGAGAGAGCTTCGGATCTAGTCTCTGTTGTGAAGGAGGTGGCCGGAGGCGGGAGATCGGGCGGCGGCGGTGGCGGAGCTCTCTCCCGCTGCGGGGGAGCTGTTTACTACTGCATAATTCATTTTATTATAAGATATCGGGCCCTAGATTATATCCTTTGGTACAATAGGATAGACCTAAAGAATAACAAGCTGAGACTCTTCTTTTTTTAAGGGAGACTGTAAGGAAGCAACATATGTAGCTCATTTAGAAGTTTGTGAGATAACACTGAAATAGGTAAGAAGAAAGAACCTTGCAAGGTGTATTACGGATGTAGTCCATGAACAATTGAGCAGATCTGCCACGGATTGGCCTGTGCCTCTGTGAAACAAACTAAAAACAACTAAATATCAATATCCCATCCCACAAACAATCTGATGAGAAACTTTAATAGAAAACCTTTCGACAATATGTGTTACTATAAACAAACTATGATGAATTTAAAATGTACCTGTAATACACAAGCTAAATATTGTGAAAGAGAAAGATCATCAACATTTTGCGCATCAAGTTTTTCTAGGTCAATGACAGCATACCCATACTGCAAACAATAAAGGAATTTTAAGGGGAAAAAGAGTCCAGGAAATTCAATAATAGCATGGTACTAGGAGACTTCAAATCCAGGTACAGAAGAAGGGCAGACCTCCGTTATTGTGATAGACTGCTTGACAGCCATACTGCAGGCATTGTCAACACACGCTCGTGTCAACCGGCATGCGTATATCAGTTTCTGAAGTTCTGACTGAAAGGTACCTGAAGATAAATGGTCTTGTCAGATGAATGCATATAAACACACCACCTCCCCGGCGCACACACGCACACAATATGTAGGTAGGAATCTTGTGATTAACTCGAACATGTTCCTCATATGTGTCTGTTAATAGCTCTACGATGTCTCCATTCCCATATAATTCACAAGTGACTCTAATTAGAAAAGTAAGAATGGTGATAATGCAATTAATTATGCATGCTCGACTGCTCATTTGACAATGCCGTCTGTTCATTTCACTCCCTTAATTATCATGCTCAACTCTAACGATCTATATTATGACTTGGAGGGAGAATTAGTTAGCACAGACAACTTTATCGAGAATTAGATACCATGAAAACATAATTATGCTCTCTTTTGAACCACAGATTAAATAACCACCTTAAACGAGTAAGATTAACTTAACTACTGTGTTCCTCCTACTGACTCCATTTTTTGTGTCATTAAGACACAGAACGTGCTTCACTATACAATATTAAGATTTCATGTTCAAAATAGAACCAGACCCAAGCAAGAAACATTAAAAACCAATAAATCACACAGAAAATTTATCCTGATTCCAGGAGATAAATAGCTCCATCAGATGAGCATTATTATTCATCTATTAAAGGGAATTACACAATATGAAGCTGGTGTTATGCTTATTTGAACAATTGACCGGTTTGAAGATTAACTTCCATAAAAGCGAGTTGTTCTGTTTTGGTAGAGCCAAAGAAGAACAAGAGGCTTATAAGCAATTGTTTGGATGCGAATTGGGAGCACTACCTTTTACATACCTAGGTATTCCCATTCACCATCGTAAGCTGACAAACAGAGAATGGAAGTGCATCGAGGATCGGTTTGAGAAGAAACTGAGCTGCTGGAAGGGTAAACTCATGTCTTATGGAGGCCGATTGATTCTTATTAATTCGGTGCTCACGAGTATGCCTATGTTTCTTTTATCCTTCTTTGAAGTCCCAGTTGGGGTTAGGAAAAGGCTGGACTTCTATCGGTCTCGTTTCTTCTGGCAGAGTGATGAACTTAAGAGAAAATACCGACTAGCCAAATGGGATATTATTTGCCGACCGAAGGACCAGGGGGGTCTTGGTATTGAGAATCTAGAAGTCAAGAACAGATGCCTTCTCAGTAAGTGGCTATTTAAGCTATCAGCTGAGACTGAGGCAACTTGGGCGCAGATTCTACGTAGCAAGTATTTGCACTCTAAGACTTTGTCACAGGCGACAGTGAGACCGACTGACTCGCCGTTTTGGAAGGGGCTTATGAGAGTCAAAGCTGCTTTCTTTAATAGAACAAAGTTTATTGTCGGTAATGGCAACAACACTCGATTCTGGGAGGATACTTGGCTGGGTGAAACGCCGTTGGCTCTGCAGTATCCGTCCCTATATCGTATTATGCAGCGACGTGATGCTCTGGTCGCAGCGATTTTGCAGTCAACGCCCCTTAATATTCAGTTTAGGAGGGTGCTTATTAGTGACCGATGGGAAGCATGGCTTCATCTGGTGAGTAGACTGATGGAGGTTCAGCTCACTCATCAGCCCGATCAGTTGTGTTGGAAGCTTACTACGTCTGCAGTATTCACTGTCAAGTCGATGTATATTGATGTCATCAACTCTAGTGTTATTCCTAGTTCCAAACATGTTTGGAAAGTCAAGGTTCCTTTGAAAATCAAAGTGTTTATGTGGTTTGTACATAAACAAATCATCTTAACAAAAGATAATTTGGTTAAGCGCAACTGGACAGGATCTACTAGGTGTAGTTTCTGTGATCGGGACGAATCTATCAAGCACCTTTTCTTTGATTGCCCGTTGGCGAGAGTGTTGTGGCGCACGGTGCAAATTGCCTTTAACATTACTCTTCCGATTTCGGTCAGTTCGTTATTTGGAACGTGGCTTGTTGGGATAGAGTCCGAGACAGCTAGACAAATCCGCGTAGGAGCATGTGCGTAGTTATGGGCAATTTGGAACTGCAGAAATGATTTGGCTTTTAACAGAACAACAACTATTCATTTTTTGCAGGTTTTGTTCAGGGCTACTGCGCTAATCCGTATGTGGTCCTTACTCACTCCGACGGAGGCCAAGGAGCGTTTGGTTACTGGATCTGTCCGGTGGGAGATGGTGGCGCAGGATATCTTCAACCGGTTTGGATGGCGGATAGGCGATTAGTTTACCTATCTTTATTTTGCCAGCCGGTTGTGGCTTTTGGGCCTTTTGTTTTTGGCTTTGTGGCTCTTTGTGAGCTAGCCTTTCATTTGTTTCCAGACTGCAAGACCTTGTCGAACTACCTTATTTATATATAATTGTGGCCATATGCATCGTTCTGATGCAGAGGCCGGGGAGTCCCCCCTTTTCGAAAAAAAAGGGAATTACACAATTGTGGATGGGCAATGGACAATGGATCAAGTTTGTCCTAATAACCAAGTATGACACTTATCATAGTTAATTGTGTGAAAACACTAAGACTCAAACCTCAAGGAATTAAGCATGTCTAACATAACATGTAAGGAACTATGAATGCTCAGCCAAACAATAAACAGCTATCCAATTACATATTCCAAGTCAACAGTATAGTTGATTGATACAAAAATGAGCTATGCACCTGATGACAAGCATCCTCCTCACACCATATAGCATTTTGATAACAACCAGAAGACATGAGGATGATGAAAACAACAGACGAGGACTATAAACAAATTAATATTGGTAGCTAAGTGCAACTGCAAACCTTCTGTGGATAAACATCTCAAAGATGCTCGAATGCGGTTCCTGGCATACTGCATACTATTATTTGTTGGATCTTCAACCCACAAATGATTACTTCCTTGACATATCTGTGGAGAACGGTTTACCAATTCGTGAAAGGCACATAAAATTTTGAAACAACTGACAGCTCAAATCAATAGAGATTTTTCTATGGAAGGCTTTATTTTCAAAACCAGATAAAAGAAGCTTTAATGTCCATATGAACTTTATCAAGTTATCATTTCTCCTTCATAATTGTTAGTAATGTGGGTAAGAATGCCATTCAGTAAAGATAGGCTGACTCAACTCTGAAAATAAAAGGCTTGGTAAAATGTTACTTGGGTTGGTAAACTTGGCATTTAAACCTCCTAAATCTGTATAAGTGTGTCAATAAAGGCCTAAATATATTTGATTACCAACTAATCATCATAATGATATGGCACTTCAAGCCCTACTTAACCTAAAATTTAATCATGTGTTTGATCAATACTAATCTAAACTTGTAAAAGTTGCCCAATGACATTTAAAAAGCTCCATTGAAACTTCAAATGGAAAATAATCCCATCGATTTCAAAATGTGATCATATGATCAAAATCTGATTTTGCTCAAGTGCCATGTCATCCCTAAACTATAATAAGAATAGGATTGGGCCTTTGTCAGCCCATTTACACAAAGTTGTGACTAAAATGAATTACTGATTCCAAATAGCATGAACGTTATCAAAAGCTTACCTTATACATGTCATCTTTTGAAAAGTCAAGCATGGGCCGAACAAGAAGGATGCCATAACGACAAAAATTATGTCCATCATATTTTAAATTAGGTGCAAACAATTGGGACACAAAGGCTGTACCAGCAAGACCTAGAACCCTGCTGTTGCGAGATAATCTCAGAACAAAGAGCTCTGCCTGCAATTGGAAGACTTAATTCATTCAGATATAAAATATAGTCTGCAGTGGCAATGATTGACAAGTAGATCATCAAAGATGCAATTATACATTAGATTAACTGATCCTCAGGCATCACAATGAACATTGTTAAAAATTAAACTAAAAAGCTTTTATGTCTTCACTCCATACCATTCATCCATGCAATCAAATGCCCATGTAGATTTACCCTAGCAACGAAGTGGGCAAATCAAGATAGAGTGGTATATGAATGCACAATAGCGCCATATCTAAAGCTAACTCACTTTGTATGAATTCTAGTGGGGTTTGTACTAGCATAAGCTGAGAAACTTAAAAATTACTGCACGCCTTTGAATATATCGACAGCTGTCATTTAGTTTCATGCTCTTTAACAGAAGTAATTCTTTGTGAGTGCGGACATCTTCACCATTAAAACAAAAAATGAACACATCTTCATCTTAACAGACCTGGTCATCAGAGTGGTGTGCAATAAGCAACACTCCTATTTGCTGCTTTATACAAATGTCCAACAGTTTTTGGTACCTGAATTCATAAGAACAAGTTGTGTCAGGCTTTATCAAAATGGACTAAGATGTTCTGTGTTTGCGAACAAACTGCCAGACAGAATTGAAAGAACATACACTACACTGAGTACATATAGGCAAATATTCCACAAAGAACACAAGTATCATTTCCATCATGGCGGTATATTAATAGATTTATATATCTTAGTGGTCGGTGTACAACATGTCAAATTTTAGTATTTCAATTCTTTATTGGCAAGAGGACACATGTGACCTAGGCAAAGGTAGCCACTTAGCCACCACAGTTCTGGATGTCAACGATGCTGAAGAAAATTCAGTTACATATATAGGCAAATACTCCACAAAGAATGTTCAGACACTTAGGTACATATACATGAATATTCCACAACCAACAGAAAAATAATTTCCATCACAAATATGAAATGACAATGGGAAGAACTGTATCTTAGCAGAGAGCCACAACTATGTCTTAGCACACACCAAAAATGTGTTCCCGTCTGAAATGATTAGAAAAACAATTGTGTCTTAGCAGAAGCGACAACTATGAAGATTGCTCAACCAACATAGGTCCTTTTATTTTTCGAAAAGGGGGGTTCGCCCCAGCCTCTGCATCAGAATGATGCATACGGCCATGATTATTAAAAAGCAAAAGGTCCAACATAAGTCTCCATGTGTCGAACAAAGAACAAAAAAAGGCTCACGAAGAGCTAAACAGTAATAGAAAAGTCACAACCGGCTGGCATAAAAAGATAGGAACACTAACTGCCTATCCTATTACATGACCGTCATCCAAACCGGTTGAAAATATCCCGTGCTACCATCTCCCATCGGGTAGATCCACATAGGTCCTTTTATATAACCACAGTACTGATGTGATGAATATCCTACTTATCTCGAGCTTCTGTAGCACACTTATATGTTCATATCTGGATATCGTTGACAAAGAACACAAAGCATTACATGGTAAAGTAGAACAGCGGAATGAACTTCAAGAAAATTTGGTCAAACTAACTCTATGAGCCTGTTTGGGACTGCTTCGCTTCACCAAAATCAGTTTCGCTCCATTAAATTCACTTTGGAGCAGTTTCATCCAGAAGTTGTAGCACTACCAAAGAGAATGCTTGGCTTCCATCTAGCTCCAGCTTCAAGAATGAGAAATTTGGTGGAAAGGATCTATTTGATTGGTCGAGGGGGGAGAAACGAAGGGGTATCCACTTACTGGTGGCAGTGGTGGGTAATTTCCACCCAACTCCAGCTTCTAGAGTTTTTTGGAGCACCCCCTGAAGAGCTTCATGAAAAACTGGGAGTTGTGCCCCAGATTCTAGTTTCTTTGTGGAGCGGCATATCGTGGAGTTACCCCGTTTGGTTTGTGTTTTCTGGAGCGGAGCTGAATTTTAAGGAGCAGAGCAGTCCCAAACAGGCTCTATATTACACTGTCTCCAACATATAAATAGCCATGAACACTAAGCTTGTATCAAGTGAAAATAATCTGATATCAATAACGGGCAAAACAGGACTGACAAATACCTCATTTCGCGGGCTGCCTCTTGCAGATGCCCTAGCTTTGGCCGCCCATTAGGCCACTCACATCTGGCAATCTCGCATATAACACCTACAACAAAGCCGTAACACCTCAAGGTTCATCATCTTTTAAGTCTTATGCAAATGCAGCCTGAGACACCTAAGTATCAGCAGCTCTACCAAAGTTCTTCTAAACCAGCTTTCATTCAAAAAAAAAGTACAAAAGTTGCATGCCATAAGCTTACCCATGCCGTGCACCCGGTCGCGCACTAGCTGCGCCTCGTCGGCGCTCTCGAGCCGCAGCCCGTGGTCGACCACGACCCCCAGGAGCCCCTCCACGAATCCCCCGGACCCGCCCTTCGCCGCCTTCTTCCAAGCCGCCGTCAGCACGCACAGCGCCATAGAGTCCGGCCCACCCGAGACCCCAACCGCTGCAAGAAAACAGGAATCTGCAGCAAGTAAGAGTCCTAGATGGCACCAGACAAAAAGGCACTTCTCGTAAGCTGATTGATATATTTCTTCCTTTTCCACACGCGGAAGAGGGCACTGGATTCGAAGTAACGAGTCGAGGCGGCGGGGAGCGGCGTACCAATGCGGTGGTGGGGGTGGATGCCTGCGAGGGCCATGCGACGGGCGAAGGATTGGTGGTACGGAACAATGGGGGAGGAGGCGGAAGAACAGGTGCAGCGGCATCGTAGGAGGCGGCGGAGTGGAGGGCAGGGAGAGGGGAAGGGGCGGCAGTAGAGGAGGAGCATCGCCGGAGTTGAAAGGGGCAAAAGAAAGATAACGGGGAGGGTTTTCCCGGAACCGGCTCCTCTATGCCAGCGAACGCACTGATATGGGCCAGGATATTTTAGAAGCCCATCTACCCAGCCGTGAGCTCCACTGGCGCCAAAATACGCCGTCGTATCGTCTTCTCGCGCCAAAAAAGCAGAACAAGGCATCGCGAGCGCGCGCAGGCGGCCGATGCGGCGGCGACGTTCTTTGCGTTCCTCCCTCTCAAATCGTCGTCAGCACGCTGTCAGACCCAGAAAGAGTCTGAAGAACAACATTCAAAAATCTAGACTGAATTCCACTCGAACTAGCTCGCTTTATTGGACGAATTCGAGAGTTTTAGTGTAAAACCAAAGGAACCTAAAGGCCGGCCAGGAACACTGGCGGCGGAGGGGGAAACCCTAATACATCAAATGGTTCTCTATCGAGCTGGAGCCTTGGCTTTATAGCTTTGCAAGTTGGAAGAAAGAAAGATAGTAAAAATGGAGGCAAATGATCATTGTAGTTCTTGCCGGAAAGTAAAAAAGCGACTTGCGCGTAAAGGGTAGCCGTCCGATGTTGGATGGACGCGATCCAAGGCCTTCCTCCACAGCGAAGCGGTACGGGGGATGGAGGAGCATCAGATAGACAATGGACGGCCTGTGTTGCTTCGTGCCAGTGGTTGGGTATGTAAATATAACTGAATTGTTGTGTATTCTTCAGTAAAGCTTCAATTGGGTCCTGACAACTCCCCACGGTCGACTTCAGACCAGTTCTCAGGGCTGAAAGGCCAGAAAAACTTTTTGTATGAATGTTGCATCTTCCCAAGTAGCATCTTTCTCATCCATGTTACTCCATTTAATGAGCCAACGCATAACTGGTATTTGGATATCGCCTTGAGTCCTGGGAATGAGCTTTCTCTCCAAAAGCTTCTCAAGTTCAAGGAGAATAGTGCCATCTGCATTGAGGAGTGGTAAGTTGGGATTTGGGATGGCTTGTGGCCTCGAATGCTCAATTGACTGACATTAAATGTGAATGTAACTTGCAATGACCGGGTAAGAACAGTTTGTATGCCACTTGACCAACTTTCTGAATTATTCTGAAGGGGCCATAATATTTAGAGTGCGGCTTCAGAAATCTATGGACACTCAAGGTAGTGTATCTGTAGGGTTGCAGTTTGAGGTAGACCATATCTCCTACTTACAAGGTTCTTTCATACCTCTTTTTGTCAGCATAGTGTTTCATTCTTTCTTGTGCCTTCAACAGATTTGCTTTGATAGGTGCTGAAGTTTGTTCAACAGTGAGGACTGAGGAAAACTCTTGAACTTGTTCAGTTGGGTAAAGGGCAGCTTCAGAGATCATGTTTGGAGGTCTGTTGTACAGTGGTTGGAAAGGTGTGATTTTCAGAGATGGTAACTGATGTTGTACCACCATTCAGCTAGAGAGAGCCAATTCATCCATTTCTTAGGTTGTAAGAAAGCTATGCACCTCAGGTAGTTTTCCAAACATTGATTAACTCTTTCTGTTTGGCATCAGATTGAGGGTGGTAAGAAGTACTCATGTGTAATCTGATGCCCAGCTTCTTGAAAAGTTCTTGCCAAAGGTGGCTGGTGAAATCCTATCTTTGACAGTGACAATAACTGAAGGCAGCCCATGTAATTTGAAAATGTTATCAATGAAAGTCGTGGCCACAATGTTGACAGTGATGGGATGTTTCATTGCAATAAAATGCTCATATTTGGTGAATTTATCCACCACAACTAGAATCATGTCTTTGTGGTGTGATGTTGGGAGCCCTTCCACAAAATCCATGCTAATGTGACACCAGGCAAAATCAGGACTGGGAGTGGTTGTAGTAGACCAGGGTACTTGTTGTGCTCAGGTTTGTTGATTTGACAAGTGGGGCACTACTTGATATAGTCATAGATGAATTGTTTCATGTCAGGCCAATGGAAGAGGAGTTTGACTCTCTGATGAGTAGCCCTGTGTCCAGAGTGGCCTCTAAGCTCGTAATTGTGTAAGGCAGATACTAGCTGATTTCTAAGATTAGTGTCCTTGCCAATGAGAATTCTGTTTTTACATCTGAGGATGCCTTGTTGTAGTGCATAGTTAGGGGCAATAACTGCAGAAGTTGCTAGTTGAGAGAGGGGAGAGAGAGGAGGTCCTTGCATCTTTGATCCTGGTCATAGCTGGAAATTACTTCAGATATCCAGACATGTCTTGCTTGACTTGCAATAATTGAATGTAGCCTGTATTTGACTCTAGAAAGGGCATCAACAACCTTGTTGTCTTTGCCTTGCTTGTACTCAATCTTAAAACTATAGCCCAATAGCTTGACTCGTAATTTGTGTTTAATGCCCTCAGTCAGTTTTTGCTCTTGCATATATTTCAAACTCTGTTGATCAGTTCTTATAATCAATGAAGAGGCAGCAAAATAGTGCTTTTCAATGTTTCAAAGCTTCAATGATGGCCATGGCCTCTTTATCATATGTTGACATGGCAGCTGCTTTAGGACCAATGGTCTTGCTAAAATACGAGAGGGGCTTGGCCTCCCGCATAAGTACAACACCAATCCCATAAGCACATGCATCTGTCTCCAAGATGAAAGGTTGAGAAAAGTCAGGCAGGGCAGGATAGGTGCTTGGGTCATTTAATATGTTTCAAGATGTTGAAAGCTTCCATTTGCTCATTTTCCCACTTGAAAATGTCCTTTTTCAAAGATTGAAATAGAGGTTTGCAGGTAAAATCATAGTTTTGTATGAATCTTCTATAGTAACCAGTGAGACCTAGGAAGCTTCTCAGTTGAGTTACATTTTCACGAGTGGGCCACTGGACTATTGCCTCAATTTTTGTAGGGTCAGTTGCTACTCCATCTCCCCTGATAACATGTCCCAAGTATTCCACTTGGGGCTGTGCAAAGGTACATTTGCTTAGTTTGGCATAAAGCTGGTTGGACTGCAACACCTCTAGGACCACTAGTAGAAAACAGGGTACTAGTCCCGGTTCCAGAGGGTCTTTAGTCCCGATTTTGGAATCGGGACAAAACAAACGGGACTAATACCCAAAACCTTTAGTCCCGGTTGGCTTACGAACCGGGACTAAAGGGGCTCCACGTGGCCGCTGTGGGGGCGCCCAGGCAGGAGGACCTTTAGTCTCGGTTGGTAACACCAACCGGGAGGGAGGACCTTTAGTCCCGGTTGGTAACACCAACCGGGACTAAAAGGCAGCCCCGCGTCAGCAGCTTGCAGGCGCTGGGTTTTTTGTTTTTTATGGGGGGGTTAGGGGTTTTGGAGGGTTAATTTAGGGGTTTCACATTGTGTTAGCTAGCTAATAGAGAGAAGTAACCTCTCTTTCTCCGTGCTTGGCCGACGCTAGCTACTATACATATAGAGAGAACTCGACGCTGGGAGGCGCGCAAAACAGCACCGCTGGATGTCGGAGGCTGGAGCAGGCGGTCCCGGCGCTGGGGAAGAAGACGAGAGATTGAAGAAGAATGCCGGTTGTTGGATGTAAATCCAACGCCTTGCTTAGGCCTCGACCTTTGTATTTTTATTTTTTGCGAAAGTGCTTAGGCACCTACTGGCCCACATGTCAGCCAGTCCATTTGGTTTTTTAGTCCATTTGATGAGCTGGGTGAAACAATGATGTAGCATCTATGCAGCCCGTTTATATAATATGGTAGAATTTAAAGCCCATTTGCATTTTTCTCGAAATCCACGGACTTGCTGGGCTGGGTGAAAATATCATGTTGAGCTGGACGGAGAAATGTTATAAAAACATAAACACATGATTGCACGTCTATTAGTACATTGGTCAGTAAAATCTTTGAAAGCTTATGTACGCAATTACTAGGAGTTAACTTGCCAAGTTATATATAAACAATTATTGTTATTATTATTATTATTATTATTATTTTGTAAGAACTTTCGATTTATGAAATAAAATATCATTTTAATTTGATGAGTTAATAGGAGTGGGGTATTATTATTTTTTAGGCTAGACATGGGACAGTTGAGTTGGTTCTAGGGAAAAGTACTGGGAGAAAACTCAGATTACATCGAAAAAGAAAGTGGGAGAAAATTCAGATATAAGATTAATGAAAACGAAAAATAAAGGAAGTGGGAAGGTCTATAAAATGGTTGGACGAACGACAGGTTTAACAGAACCTTATGTTTTGCATTCTTATAGACAAGCTAGGCTGGGAGGCCCAGAGGCTGCTTGATACCTGTTGGATACAAAACGAACCAGCGGCGGGGAGCAACATACGGCGGCATCGCAGCGAGAGCATCAAGGCGGAGGACGACATAGAGACCTCGGACCGAACGAACCGGAGCGCGGGGGGACGCAGGCGGAGGGGAGTATGAGGGTTGACTTGTTCAGGTGCAGGGTGGGCCGGTGAAGCTACCGCCGCCGGATAATGTGTGGGAATAGAAGGATAGCCTGGCCAACGCCATAGGCTATGATGGGTCACCGAGGCGTGCGCGGCAGCGCCGCCAACCGCTGTATAGGAAGAGGATGAAAGAATGAACAAAATAAAGAAATATAAATGGATAGGTGGTTGGTCCCAGATGTCTGTGTACGAGACTTGCTGGGTCCACCTGAGAAGGGGAATATGTTGGGAGGAAGGAGATTCAAAGCACGGCAACCGAGTGAACTAGTTACATACCTAAGCAAATAGCCACTAAAAAAGCAGACAGGTTAATGGGTTCTTAGAAGAAATATTTCAGACAAAATAGATAATCACGACACATAGGCTAATGCATGAAACACTCAGATGATAAAGGTGCTTAAACAGATAAAGTACAACATCTAGACCTTCCTGGCATGCTTGATCATGACGTTGCGCCGTGTGTGTACTCGTCCATTACCGGAAGCAGACACGCCCTCATGTCCAAGATCCGCCTATACATGTCGTAGCGTGCGTATGTGTCCTTGGCCGCATAGGTTATGTAGGTGAGGGAGTCCTGGATTAGGGGGTCTCCGGACAGCCGGACTATATCCTTTCGCCGGGCTGTTGGACTATGAAGATACCAGATTGAAGACTTCGTCCCGTGTCCAGATGGGACTCTACTTGGCGTGGAAGGCAAGCTAGGCAATACGGATATGTATATCTCCTCCTTTGTAACCGACCTTGTGTAACCCTAGCCCCATCCGGTGTCTATATAAACCGTAGGGTTTTAGTCTGTAGGAC